TACAAATTTTGGGAACCTGAATGTGCCAAGTGGTTTTATAATTAGCAGAAATGAACTTTTTGATTAATAAAGTCCAATTCTAAATACGATTACTCTAAGGTATATTAATATTAATATGTCTGTTTTAATTAATTTGGTTATTTTGAATTTATTAGTTATTGTATTATTATTATGGCTTAAAATTAGTCCATAATTTTGTGAATGAGCCACAGGTAACCACCCTTTATCATTTACAATGGTCAATCTTCTAGCCATATTAACCCATTTTTAGCATGTATATATCAGATGATTATGTTTCTGGTTTTGCTACAAATCTATCTCATTTATCTTGATAAATTTCATGGGGTGTCTGGGTATTGTTAATTTAAAAACATAAGGCGCAATTTTTTTCCTTGCTCTTTTTTTAGAATGCTTCTAATGGTACTGTAAGATTTTGATTCCATGTTGATTCCATGTAAAATTAGTTTATATAATCCTATAGTCAAACCTCGTTATAGTTATACCGAATTTTTCGTTATACCGAAGGAATTCTGATTTCCCCCGTTTTCTAAAAAGTAAAAATCCCTCGTTATAACGAATTTAATAGTAAAATCTCTTTATACCGTTACCGAAGTTCGATGCAGAATTTTACATATGCTACTAATCCCTTTATACTGAAGTTTTATCACATGATAAATGTGGAATAGTGGTTTTCTGTAGCAAATGAAGATTATACATTTTTTTTGAAGATACTGAATTAATTAAGAAATCAAAAAAGCAAGTAACATAGTAACTAATGTTACATCCCGACAGCAACTAGCTATTCAGAGTTTGATTTTCCATTATCGGCCACGGATATATCAATATTACAGTTGATGACGGAGACATAAGCAAGGAAATGGTGACAGACGTAATAGTAAGACAACGAAATTGTTTCTTCCCTCTTCTCGCAGAAGAAGAGGAAAACGATGATGAAAGTGGCTCGAATCTCTCCCTACCGTCTTTACTAAGATGCAGTAGTCGGGAAACGGTACTTCAACAATGTGACACAGAAATTAACCATAATGAATTTAAAGCCTTTCGTGCGTTGAAGGGAAAGGTGGAATTGTAGTGTTGCAACGCAAAAAACAAATTTATTTGTTACTGATTAGTATATAGTATAATTGTTTTTTTATATTTAAATAAAAATATTATTCATAGAAGTCGCATTATGCTAATACCGAATATTGCCTTAGGCCTGACTTCGTTATACAATATAGAAGTACCTCACTATTACTATACCGAATCGTGGATGCCTCCCGTATAACGAGGTTTAATTGTATAAATATATTACTGTTATGATAATAGCTACCAGGAAAACACTTATCTCAACCGGTTTGTAGATTTATAATGCAACTAAAATTTATGAATTCAGACGCGAGCCACAACTGTTCCATTAATACTAATACTAAATTAAAGTTAAAAAGAATCTGTCACTCTAGCTAATGTTTTAGCTGTCCTAACAATCTTTAACAAATGTTCACTTTGTCTGATTATCAGCTCATATTAATATGTGCAGAGATGTGATTATATATTATATGGTGCTGTAATCATAATAGGTTGTTTGGTGCTACCAAAAATTTTTTTGGAACATTCTACATTTAGTATTAGTGCCTGGTAATAAATTTTTTAATTTTACAAAAAACATATACATAAATCAGAAAAGGTGCATAATTAATTCTGTCTTAAATTCCAAGATTTTATTTTCTTATATTCCCCCAATACTGAAAAAGGTTTAGAATAATGTATAAACTGGAAAGGCTGTTATTGGTTATTTAATAAAAATAATAATGTGTCAACGTTTGGAGTAATTAAGATTAGACAAATGTCTCAAAACCATGATGTGAGAGACATTAACATCTTTCTTAGTTAACATAATCGCCAAAGTTCTGCTTGAGAGAGTAGTATCTCTTCAGATATACTGTCCTAATGCCTTCAATGCTTCCCTAGTGATCTTCTTTGGCTGACCATTTCCTTTTGCCTTAGCTATACTTCCCGTTTTTTTGAGCTTTTTAAATCATTATAAATTGTAGCAAGAGATATATTTGGCCATTGGTTGTGTCTTGAGTCCAAAAATGTAATAGTTTGACGTTGTGGCTCATTTCCGGGCCGGATTAATCAAGAGAACTACTTTTGTAATTCACTTCTTGAGCAACTAACTGTAAGCTCTGCTTAGGTTGATGAAATTGGGCTGTTGTCATTGCTAAAAGTAAAAAAAAAGAAACATAATCAGATTCCTTCCTACAAAGTCTTCCAAGAGATCTTTTTTTATTTACCATGATCGAAATTGTTAGAGAGAAAGTTTCTTGATGTGCAGGTCAGTCCAGCACCTCAATATTATTGTC